CAAACGGGGGTCATGAGGTTATTACATGGGGGGATCACAAGCTGTCAGCCTCCACCCCAAACCCCGCTTTGCATCCAGCATTTATAATGGTGTTAAATATATTAAAAAATATTTTTAGTTTATGAGGGGGGGGCACACTCAGAGGCTTGCTATGTGGAAGGGGTCACTAGTACAAAAGTTTGAGAAGCACTGCTCTCAGGGTTTCAGTCGCTCTCCGAGCCCGAGCGAGTAGGGAGTGGGGGGGGGGGGGCTGCGAAGGGGTTTCCTTTGCCTGTGTCGCCAGATCTCCGCCGGCTGCAGCCCCGGGCACTCAGGGGGCTCCCCAAGTAACACCCCTCACTTACCCGCTCGCGTGCAGCGCCGCGCCTACATCTTCAGCCCAGCCCCGGGGGGGGCCTGCGCGGGGCTTTCACCCACGGGAGGCTCGGGACGCCCTGCCCCCGGGAACCTGGGAAATGCAGCGGGATGAGGTTCTGTCTGTAAATGTAAAACAGATTCTCCCTCCTTAAAAGGCGCCTGTCCCTTTGCGGTGCGGCATGAGCGGCCGCCGGCGGGCCCAGGCTCGGCACGGATAGGCGCTGCCCAGCGTGTTGCGATTTGAAATGACTCACGTGACCGCGCTGTTTCAATCGTTCCACAGCTGCACAAGCCCCGGCCAGCCCCCTTCAGGGCTGGGGCTGGTGCCCCCAACGCTGCTGATCCCCGGCTCCGCGGGGCTGCAGCTCCAGCCCAGGGAAACAAAGTCTTTTGACACATGCCATCAGCTTAAAAATCCCACGCGAAAGAGAACTGCTGCCTTTGTTTCAGCTCCCACCTTTACATCATTAACGCGGGAGGGCTTTTGTAAAAGACATTTTCTGTTTCACTCTCTGCACGGTCAGCTTCCCTGCCGGATTCCTCCTGGCTTATAGGCCTGACAGCTTCACTTTTTTGTCTCTGATCCGATTTGCTCTCATGCAGGAGTATAATGCTGCGGTGTCTGTGTTGCAAAAGTAACAGCGAGTGGTTTGGGTTAAAAAGAGCGGTTTCTGTTTATTTTTTTATCAAGTTTTATCATACAATAGGGCACGTGTAGATGTTCTTTCAAAAGATAAAAAAGTGGAACCAAATAATAAGCATCAGATGAGAATTTAAAAACAAAATAGTATAGACCACATGTGGGGCATTCTACCTGCATAGAGCCAGTTGAAGAATTGGGGCCTATATCTGGTAATGAAGACTGTAACTGTATGTCAGGAAGAGTCAGAACCAGTGGTGTCCATTCATGAGATTTTCTTTAGTATCGTGTGGTGGTGGTTGTTTTTTCTTAAAGCTCCAGCTCCTGGAGTCATTTGATCATCTGAGATCTCTCAGCTTTATTTGTTATTTTTAAGTAGGTTTCTAGTCCTCATGAGTGTGAAGAAAAGCTACAAAATATGAATCTAAAGGTGCAAACACCAGAAGGCATAGTCCCCATATTTATATCATTCTAAAAGTCTCATGAGTTTCAAGGCCTCGTTCGTGATTTCTAAATGCTTGAGGTCAGGGTGGATAGATTTAAATCAAGACAATTTAAATCATGATTTAAGTCACCAAGTGAAAAGCTTTGATTTAAATCATTGATTTTAATCACCTTTTCCATTTGTACCTCAGTTATTTTCTAAAGAAAGGTGCATTCTCAGTGGTTTGTATAACCATTAAAACTTGTTGATTTACAACTAATAGAGCCTTTGCATTAGATTTGGTACATCTTTCTACTGCCTAAAAGGGTACACAATAATTATATATGTTCATTTATACAGTTGTGTAGCTTAATATTTTCAGATCCTTATTAATTAATGGTACAATTTTAGTATGTTAAAAATGGTGAATGATATATTGCTTATTTACTAGATAATTTACTTTTGGCTCACAATTTGTGTCAAGCTGCATTAGAACGTTAACTGGAATTTAATTAAACACACAAAAAAGCATAACACATTTATTTTTAATAAGCAAAACAAGCCCTTAATACAATACACAACCCATTTTGCCGTATTTAGAACGCTTGACCTCAAAAGTTAGATGTTTTCTCCCTGATTATTTCTGTGTATAGAAAAGCAGGCTTTAACTCAAAGCTTTGATAGAGGCTCATGGGTTCATCATATTAATTTTTTATTTAAATGTTTAAAGAGATTATAATAAGTGTAGGCCTTAACATATTTTGTATTAAATTCAGATTTCATTTTAAACAGGTTTATTTTTAAAAATAAATCATAATTTACATAACATCAAAAATCTGATTTAAATAAAATATTAATTTATTAATGTTAATGATTAACTTTAAAATCATCAATTTTTAATCCACCCTGCTTGAGGTTGGCAATACTATAGAACATTTTTGTATGAAGTGTAGAAAAGCAATGTATTTTTTTAAAAAAGTATTAAAATGAACAATAGAAGTGTAACAAAACCTCCTAAAATCGGAGGCTTGTTTTAAAGGAATTCTTTCAGCTCAAATTTGACCCCAAATTTAGGTTTTGTACTTCTATAGACCAAACTGCAGGATCCAGCACCTATCCAAGTATGGTGTGTTTCCTCTCTTTCTGGTGAAAGGATGACATGTAACCACATGTTAAGAGAACATTTTTTAGAAATAGTTCATATAAAATTTTGACCCAGGTGGCAAATACATCAATACTTTCTAAACAAATCAAAGTTCTCTCATCTAACAATTGGTGTTTTAAGTACAACTGTCAAGCAAATATATGAAACCAATGCTCAACATAAAATGAAGTAAAGAAAATCAATTAAAGTTATGCACGTTTCCTTAAGGAATAGCAATTTAAAATTGCAATGCAGACAGAATCAGAATGGGAAATGTAGGTGGTAGTGACACAGATAAACTGAATCTTCCTCACACTACTGTGGCAATTTGAATGACAGCTCTCTGCCTGAGCCCTAAATAATACACGATGTTACTTTTGCAAAGTGGTTTTGAGGAATGTATTAACTTGTGATCACTATGGCTCATGAATTGTTGGATTGTGAATAAGCTTAATGAGTTAACTCCTCTGCAACTCCATTCAGGGATGGATTGATAAAGCTCCATGTGAGGGCTGAAATTCTGTGATTTGCTAACAATTTTGTAGCTACACGGTGTACAAATGATGGGCCACAGGTGCCCAATTGCCTCATTGCTCGCCCTGCTGAATCACTGGCAATATAGGTCACTAAGGGTATGTCTACACTACCCGCCAGGGGCGGGCAGCGATCGATCCAGCGGGGATCGATTTATCATGTCTAGCATAGACGTGATAAATCGACCCCCGAGCTCTCTCCCCTCGACTCCTGTACTCCAGCACCACGAGAGGCGCAGGCAGAGTCGACGGGGGAGCAGCAGCAGTCGACTCACTGCGATGAAGACACCATGGTAAGTCGATCTAAGTACATTGACTTCAGCTACGTTATTCACGTAGTTGAAGTTGTGTAACTTAGATCGATTTTTCCCACCCCTCTCCTCCCCAGTGTAGACCAGGGCTCAGATGTAGAAAGCAGAATTGAATGTACTTTTCTATTGCACCTTCTGTGCTCAAAGAATTGCAAATGTAATCAGATTCCCGGGACTTCATTGACAATGGGCTTGTACCAAGGAGGTGCAGTAACTGCAGAGTTAGACAAACACAACGCCCTAATGCAATCAGTAGTAGTTCATACAGAAACCCATCACAGGAGAATCTTCGAATGCTAATGTAAACCCGGCAAAACTATGGCCCACACCCAATGCAGCTCAGCCTCACTTTGAACGATAGTCTGCTTTTTGCATCACAGCTGGTCCCATTTCCACAAGCAGCCAACCATATTTAAATGAAGGAGATGCAGTGGGCAGGCTGTGACTTTGGGAGCTTGATTTCCTTAAAGCAACTCCACTGAAGTCAATGGAGTTAAACTGGGGTCAAACAGGTTGAGGCCCCTGATGCTGAACCCAGCTCCGTTACTAGCATAGACACAGCCTATAGTATCAGGTTAATGGAGGACCTGATGGGAACCTGTTTTGGAAAAGGTCCTTTTTCGGAAAACAATGGTCATGAAGCTATAGACTTGGAACAAGAGATTGCATGATAGTGGAGAGGTGAAAGAAAATGAAGAAGAGAAAATACAGTACCAATTCTGTACATAATATATGGGGTGTTTACTAGACAGCTGCTAATAACAGTACATTAGATGATATTATGGAGATTTTTACATTGGATTTCTTTGGGCCATCCCAACCAGCTTTCTATTGGAGGCAACATTATAATCCAATCTAGGGCACAAACAAGGCTCCTCCATCCCTCTCTAGCATGCTTTTGGCCCGAATGGCTACCTTGTGTTTCTATAATTTAACTCTTTTATAAGGATAGGTTGTTGGCCTATTGCTCCAACCCCAGCCTGAAGGACCAGCGGCCTTCTTTTTATCTGCTCCCTACCCTTTGACCTGTCCAATTTGCGTGGCCCTATCAGGAGTTAAAACTCACACTGGCATAGTTCTCAGGGTCCTTGGAGCACAACAAGCCTTTCTCTCATGGCAAGGCGTGGTCCACAGGGAGGGGAATTGCTATTAAAGGCTATAGTACAAGGACAGGTATTGCTAATTCTAGTCTTACATTAAAAACTGCAAACCTACTGTAATATAAACTGATTGAGCTTTCTTTCCTTCAGCTAATTGGTTTGATGATTTGCTGTTGATCATGGTCTTTTATGAGCTAGATCATGGCCAGATTTTAGCGAGTGGCAATGATGGGATTTTCTTGGTTGTTTGGGGTGTGTTTGCTTTTTTCAATTTTTCCTAATCCCATGAGTATAAGTATAAAGTGGATTAAAATTGTGGGTAATTCGGATAGTCACATTAGCCTTAATCTCTGGAGGGGAAATCCGCTCCATTGAAGTCAGTGGGACAGTTGCCATTTCTTCCCAGGGGCCAGGATTTCCCTCTTGTAAGTTATCACTCCCCATCCCCCACATCTGCTTCTTACAGGTAGCTACTTTTAGCAACAATTAGATTCATCACAGCTCAGAGTGAGGGACTCGATCTCCCTTGTCAGCCAGTCGTCAATGTTTCAGGCCAGCCATTCCCCTGTGAAATCCAATGCCTGGACATGTAAAAGGATCACTTAGACGCCAGGCCCAGAGCCCCACCTTAGGGCACACACTTATTTTTTTATTTCTCCCTATTCAGAGCATTGTTTCTAAGCAACAGAAGAAAGCTTCAGCCTTGTGCGAAGCAGTAGCCTAGTTTCCTTCAGCTGCAGCAGAGGAACAACAGCATCAAGAGTGAATTCCATCCTAAAGCTTCCAGGAAATAGAGAGATTCCAAAGCCCCGATCCTTTTAATAACCATTGGACCAGCCAGAGAGTCTGACGCAGGTAATCGACTATTTCTCATATACAGTGCGTGTGCGTGTGCATAAAAAGACGGTATACAGTCCTGTCAGTAGGATTATTAACTAGATAATTATTTTTCTTAGCATCTTTACAGTTATCAGTGGACTTTCTTTTTCTGAGGGACTCTCAAATGACAGAAAGATATGGTGTGATTTTTTGAGCAGCGTTCAAAATAAGATTAAGGGGAGGCCTTGGATTCCTTAATCTGACATGTTCTGAACTGCTTGGAAACTCCCTCCTTAATTAAATGAAAGGGTGCATTTATTTATTTGGTGTATGCAATCTGGCCAAGCCACAGTGTTCTTAAATGCTGCATTAATAAACATTGGGGCCACGCTTCAGCTGGAAAAAATCATCTCAATCCTCTTGGCTTCATTGAAGTAAATGAAACGACACCGATTTACAGCAGATGAGGATCTGGTCCAGAATATTTACAGGAATCGTTGTTTCAGAGTAGCAGCCCTGTTAGTCTGTATCTGCAAAAAGCATCGAGGAATCGTTGTGCTACTTTTAATAGGTTCGTGGCAAGCAATTGTGTTGGCATTTTGGCACGTTAATGCTGTACATAAGTGCTGTCGTTTTTGATGCCTATTAAAGAGGGCACCTAAATACAGTGGTGATGGGCACATTAGACAGACATATAAACAGCATTCTCACTGCGAGTTTGAACCTAAATGTTTGTGGTTTCATGAACTCTGTAAACCCATGGTCGAGGGGAAGTAATGCATGTAATTTGACTTGTGAACCGTGTACAAAACATTGCCATAACTTTCGCTCATACCCTTGTTATCTCCAGCTTGGCCTGCTGTAGCCTTCTCCTGTCCAGCCTGTCCTCTTTCCAACCCATTCAACCAAAATCATCTCGTTGGCCCCCTTTCCAGTCCTGTCCCTTAGGGACTACTAATACTCCCACATTAGGTGGATGGAGAAACAGGAAAAGCCTTAGGAACTAGAAGAGTTGATGAGCAGGATTTGTTCTGATGCCCTGTATGGACAATACTAGACACATCTAAGTTACTTAACCATGCAGATGCTGCTGTGATGGGTGCTCTAGAAACACGTAAGCGTATAGGCGTCCTACCTAAAAGAGATGTCGCCCCTCCCAGCTCGAATCCCTGCACTGGCTTCCTGCCACATTTCACATCACGGTCAAACTCCTCACTCTCACGTTCAAGGCTTGGCACAAGGATATCCTGAACTGTTACTGCTGCTATTTACTTGTATTACCAGAACGTCTTGTCTGCTTTCCTTTCCTGTTACATCCCCACTGGTGTACTACTACTCTGCCACTTCTGCGGCGCCCATGTTTTTGCCGGGGTATTGAAATAGCTTGTGCTAATTCCTCGATGGCTTTGGTTCAGTCCTTGTAATACTGACACATAGTGATCTGTCTTTCTGTTCCTTTCACTCTTTAGGCTGGATCTTAGTACACAGTCTGGGTTGTGGCAGCCTCCCCACCAACTAGAAACCCACCTCCACCCCTATCCATGGAAAGGAAACGCCTAAAAAAAGAGATTGAAAAACTCTTGTAAGTACCAACTGCCAGGTAGTTCCCATACTGCACTGTAGCTAGCAATGACTGTGTTGTAAAGGTTCTGTCTGACATACCTTACATGTGTCCTCCGGCTTTCCCTTGTGGAAAGTCTGGGAAGCCTTCCCTGGGCATGCTGGCCAGCTCCCACTGTCCTCCTTTGATATGCACTAGATAGGTAAACTGCCATGATTCAGAGCCTACCACTGCCCTGAGCTATGCACATAGAGAACTCATGCTGGCAGTGTGAGTTATGGTTCCTGTCTAGTGCCTGGACCACACAACAGGTAGGGTCTGGGCACTAGAGTTACTGCCTTTAAGCTAACAGGCTACATCCTTTATCTCACGTAGTAGAAGGTCATGCTCTTCGATCCAGAGAGCCTGGGTTCCTCTCCACGTACAGCTTCTCCAGGGATGTAATTCAACTTCCATTATATTCAATAGGAGGCTCACACCTGACTTCACTGAGGCTCCTTGTTTGAGTGAGTACGGACAAGTCTAAGTATAGGTTGCAGCTTCAGAAACCCAAACCCCAACGAAGCAGCCCTTTCAGGCTGGTGGTTGTGCAGTGACATCCCTACTGTATGCTCATTGCTTTTATTGCAACAGCACTACCAGCAAAGAGCCAGGGAAGCCTGTCCCAAGCAGGACTTCAGGCTGAATACTTTGCTTACCATTGCCCTCTCCCTTTATTTCCAAGCCTTTGGGGGATGCAGACAGCCAGGTCCATAGCTCAGAGTACAGAGATGGAAACTGAGATTGCAAAAATAAACGGTTTTCTATGTCAGAAGGAGGCTGCCATCGGCGGCTGGGATACCTGCTGAACCTTGCAGCAGATTGTGAAGCTTTGAACTACAGTAAACACAGCCCTGATTGTATGCTGGCTTTTGAGAGTTGCCTTACTCCATCTTCTAATGCAGTGGCTTGCCTAGCACAGGCTGTAACTCAAAGCTGCTCTCTTGCTTTTAGGGGAGATTATGTTGGCATCAGACTTCGGGAAAATGAATTCGACCCGAAAGGAAGACAGCAGCCCACCTTTCTCGATGATATGGTAACCAGACGACTTCTTATTCTAATCTTGCATTCTTAATTCCTGAATGAAAGAACTGAAGGGTGCCTGGTTTGATGCAGTTAAATAACTTGCTATTAGTATCCGTAAACAAATGTGTTTTATTTAGAAGAGAGGGAAACTATCTAGAGATCAGTTGCATATAACATTTTCAAAAGTACCTAAATCCCCTTTTCAAAAGAGACAGGTTCATAAATCTCACTGACTTTCAATGACCCTAGACTCTTATGTTCCTAAGTCACTTAGTTTTTGAAAATGTTACTCCAGCTCTTTTGCCGTATGAGAGCTAAAATTAACTGATTTTACTTGGTATTAACTCATTTGGATTAATTCAAACGGACAGAAGCAAACTATGTGATGTAATTCCTTGGGAACCAACTGTATTAATCATGCTTAGAGCAGTCAGTTTAGTAGCATAAACAGGCTTAATGAGGCCTTCTTTGGCCAAGGCCAAGCCATTTAACCTCAGTTTCCCCATCTCTAACATGGAAGTAGTATTTATCTGCTACTTGGTCTTGATGCAGAAATTCCTGGGTAACATTCCATGGCCCTGTGCTGCTCGGGAGATCAAACTAGATGCTCATAATTATCCCTTCTGGGATAAAAAAATAAGTTATGAAACCTACCACATGTGAGGACTAGGTAGGTAATGTTTATGAAATACAAGATTCCCATTGACTTCATTGGAGCCAGGATTTCTTCCTGTTATTACACTTGTAGGTGGAAGATATCCATTATTTTACAAACTTCGCTAAAAACTTGTTTTTAGCGATATGATGACTTTACATGGTTGCAGGGATCCACTCACATGAAGTCAGTTGCAGGCCTGGAGCACCTTTTCTCTTATAGATCAAGTTAATCTTTATGCGATCACTTGCTAACATTATCCGTAAAGGAAAAAAATCTAGAAGTCAGAGGTGGGCAAAGCCCAATATTATTCACCTTATAGCCCTATAAACGTTCTATGAGATGGTCTCAGGATACTGTGACCAGTCAACTGTGACAAAGTTCAGCATCTATTGTACAGCTAGGGAAAAATATATGAAGTTGTTGATAAGGAAGGGCTTTTGAGATGCTAGTAGATGAAGCCTTGACTCCACCCTCCCCAAAGGCGCCAGCCAATAAAGATGAACCAGTATCGAGGCAGAAGTAAGCTGTGCCTGGCAAAGGGCTGGTGCAGCTTTCTTTCCCTTGGCGCAAGGGAGAATCAGGACTCAAGTGGCGCTCCTCTAGTCCCAGGTCTGCACTTTACTTGGGGTCATGGCAAATCCACGATCTAGCCCAGAGTGCTGTCAAATACACAAAGGTAACAAAGAGAGAAGTTTTTTCCCCCCTTCCTTTCAGTTATAATCCCTGGGTGGTGTACTGATGGCAGGTGCACACTTTTTAGATTTTCAAGCGGATGGCGTCCCTTTAAATTATCATAGCATATTGTATTCCCCCAGGATCAGCTCTGGGGGTGCCCCATTCTGCGATGGAGATTTATGGCTGTCCTTATGTCTGGCAGAAAGCCCCAGAATGAGTGCCAACATTTAGTGTTATGTCTCTGTTCAGAGACCATCAAAATGTAAGTCGCAGAATGTAGCCTTCAGCTATAGGGCACAGGACTCAGCCTGCCTGGAGGCAATTTTTGCTGTATTCATGATCTGCAAATGATAAGGTGCTAGAACAGGCTAAGCTGGGTGGCCTATTCAGGCGACCCCTGCAGCAGCTGATCACAATGTTTCGCATTTTACAGAATAGCATTTATGATTCTATCTATCTAGGTGGATGTGGTCCCCATCACGGTAGTAGGCGATCACTTCTCAGCCTTTAAGGTATTTATCCGCACCGCACCCCAGGTGAGGTAGGGCAGTGCTATTGTACAGATGGGGAACTGCGGCACAGAGACTACAGGCCAGAGTTTTAAACGACGATTTAGGTGCCTAGTGGGATTACTAAAGCACCGACGTGCCCAACACCCATTGAAATCAATGAGTTTTAGGCACCTCGTGGTTTTGAAAAGCCCACTAGGTTCCTAAATAGCGTTAACAATCTGGCCCTAAGTGACTTGCCCACGGTCACATAGGAAGTTTGTAGCAGAGTAGGAGTCCGAGGCTAGTGCCCTCATTCCTGCACCATCCTGCCTTTCTGTTCTGCTTTCAGGCTCATTACGACTTGGCCATCAGTGTTGCTTTACTGTGGCTGAATGATTCAGAAGCCCAAAGTCCTTTGGCAGAAGGGAAAAGGTGAGTATGAACAGGGGGAGGCCCCAGTCCTGCAATGGACTTACACCAGTGTAAAACTGGAGTAACTCAGGCATGAATCAGGTCCAATATCTTTCAGGCTAACCCTCTTTACTTGTATTCCCTCCGATTATCCTGGATAGGAATTTGCCACTTCACAGCAGATACATCTATCCCAACCGAACTGAGAGAGAAGCCATGATTTTATCATTTTACGCTGGGACCTTAATGGTAAGGAAGAAATAATGGTAGCAAGATCTTTTGTTCTCCAGCAAGCTTCCCAGATGAACAAAATACTAGACGTGCCGTGTATTGTGCGAGAGTCCATGCAATGCAATGAACATATGTTTTTAAATATTACAAAACTGTCTAATTTTCATCAAGGGATGGGAGTTGTAACCTTTGGTTAAACACAGTAAAGATTAGGCACCGTTAGCATGTAGCAATCTGATGGAGAATAGGGAGGTGAATATCTTGTCTCGCAAATAGCTTTTAACATCAGGAATATCAAAGAAAATTATGATAAAACAATAGTCTGAACAATTATAGCACAATGATCAAGTCAGAGCTACACAGTGGTCTACCAAAGCCCAGTTTCAGTGTATCCCGTGACATGCACAGCGATCCACAGATCTAATGAAGGAGCAATGGAATCAGTCCTGGTAGCAGAATGCTCTTGCCCCAAGTTTTGCTGATCTTTATGCAATGACGTGTTTTAGGCACCACGTTAGATCTGCTTCAGTCAGATTCCTGCTGTGTTCCACTATGTCTTCTCTGTGGCAGAAGGTCACAAGAGCAAATGTCAGTGGGGCCCTATGAGCTACGTGAGGCAACGCTAGACATGCATGTCAGGGTCCTAGCCCATAGGGTAACACTGGAAGTTAAAATCCTTCTAGTTGGTAAGGATTCTACAGGATGGGGTGTCTTCTGGATTCTAAATATTTATTAATTCAAAACCAAAAATACCCACCCCAAGGACTAAACCCCTTTCCTGACCTGCTTTCACAGAACAGCATCCCCATTGAAGACGTCTTTGGGATTTACAGCACGGGGCCTTCGGCAACAGGCTGGCACCGCTCTGCCAAAGTGAGTGGCAAGATTGTAGAGGCCTTTTTCGAATTGTTTGAAGCTGGCATCAGCTGGGTCTGTGCTGCAGCAGCTGTTGTTTATACCCGCTCTCCTGTGTGAATAAACAGAGCGGATTTAGTTGCTCAGCAGGCAATTACGGTTATCTGGCCAGTGGGGATTCTGACACAAATGAGAGGAGGAGAGCTGACCCAGCACCACACTGATAAGCTTTCTGCAGTCCATTACAAGCAGTTAAATACCGGCCAGGGCCATGGAGTGGAGTAGTCTGCCTGACTTTTATTTTCAATTGCCCCTCGCTGGTTTCCACTTTGTCTGCTGGAGCTATATTAGGGATGGATTCTCTGGGTAGTTTCATCCCATCCTTAATTAATCTGGGCCAAACTCCTGCCATCCAAACTCTGAGCATGCTCCATTCCAAACACCTTGTCTCGGTCCCTGGGCAGCCTGCCTTTTCTGAGATCCTCTTCCAGTCCCCTGAGCACAGCCCCTCCAAGGGACAGGCCCATGCCTCCACTTCCCTTTGAGGTGGGACTCCGGCATCCAACCACTCTGACTGGCTCTCTGGGTTACAGCCCTCTGGTTGCCAACCATGATACCTAGCAGGCCCAGCGGGCGTGGCACCAGCAAGAATTTCCCGCTGGGAATCTGTGGACAGTGACCGTTTGCAGTGACACAGAAGCAGCTTCTCCAAAATAAAAAGTATGATTTATTTTGCCAAACCATTCACAGCACTCAGGGCAATAGATTTAAAACAGAGATCCACGCATAGTGTCTTACCTCCGCTTGGCTTTCCCCTCAGCCCACAGGCAGAGATGACTTAGCCCTGGCGCTCCTCTGCTCTCTTGGGCACCAACTTACGGCAGGCCCCTGACTCCCAGTCAGTCTCTGTGTCAGCCGACAGCAGTTGGCAAGCTGCAGATTCTCAGCTGCCAGGGTGGGATCTGAGGAGTCTCCTTTCCAGGGCTAGAAAACTGGCTTGTGTTTGAGGGGATGATCCTTACCTAGGCCTTTGTTGTACCTTTCCCGCCTGGTTTCTTTAACAACCCCTTTTGATCTCCGTATTTGGGCAGGGTAATATCCCACAGATACCCTGAGAGGCCTATGATAATAACAACACACGCTTCCTAGCATAGGTGCTGGAACTAAGGGTGCTACGGGTGCTCCCGCATCCCCTGGCTTGAAGTGGTTTCTATTATATCCAGGGTTTACAGTTTGGTTCAATGGCTCTCAGCAGCCCCCCTATCAGCCCCCTGCTTCCTAGTTCCCCGCCCACCCGCTGAAGAGAATTTTTTTTAAATGCATTTACTGTACAGGGGGAAATCAGGACGTTGCCCTGATCCAAACATGAGACTCTGTACTACGGCTGGCTGGACATATGCAGCAAACTTTGAAGCATTTATCTGCACTGAGGACTTCCATAAGAATTGAAACACTAAATCAGATTCGTGGTGCAGCTAGTTCGGAAGACTGTCTTTGACAGTGACCACTGCCAGATGCTTCAGAGGAAGGTGCAGGAGCCCCACAATATGCAGATGTGGGACAATTTGTCTCCCATGAAAGTTTAACCCTAATCTCCAATAATTCGAGTTTGGTAAACCCTGAAGCAGGAAGTTTATGTCTCCCCCACATCCCCAAATGTGGCTATTATATTTCCTCTGATTTCAGCCATTAGTTGCTAGCCATGAGGGCAACATCTATAGGGTGTTTCCCGTTAGAAGTAAGCTAAACGGGGGTCACCACCATTAGATCAGTTTGCCCTGTCTAGGTGTGTGTTACTCTGATAGCTGGAATTGGAGCAAATTCCTGGTGTAAACAAGGCCTGAGAGGGATCCCACAGCTCCCTCCTCCCCCCTTTCCAGATGGCTCTAGTACAGAATGTACAATAGCCATGGAAATGCTTACATCTGCCTATGCTGATGGGTGGATTTTTGCCAATAGCAAGTTAATTCTGTTGAAAACTGCATTCTGGCAGCTTTCTGCAGTAATATTATCTCCCCAGGCAAACTGAACTTCCCCCTTGGCCTGTCTCTTCCTACCAATCTTCAGGCCACTTCCCTCTCTTACTGATTTTGCAGACCTTCTGCGTGAATCGTTTTTGCCTTATACACTAGTAAGGCAGCATGTCAAGTAGATTAGGGTTACCATATTTCAACTCTGAAAAAAGAGGACACTCCATGGGGGCCTGGCCCTGCCCCAACTCCGCCCCTTCCCCAGCCCCGCCCCTTCCCCAAACGCCCCTC